AGTTCCCACTTCCTAGAGTTTTTGTGGGGATTAAATGAGATAATACATGCCAAATGCTTAACACAAAGTACATGCTCAGTCAACGTTAAATGACGATAATGATAAATACAGACTTAGCCAGCAATTACTGCACATTTATTATACACCAGGGACCGTGCTGTGCCTTTACCCACGCATCTCATCTAATCCTCAGAGCAATCCTAATCTTAACACACACTTTGGGATGCCATCAGGAACCACTCAAGGAAATCCAAGAAGACTAGCAAGTCAACCGCTCTTCACGTTGGGGATCAGAATTGTCTCAGGTTTTTTGTAAAGTGCATCCGAAAAAAGAAAACTTTAACCTAGCATTTTCCAAAATGTATTCATTCATCCTTGTTAAGAGAAGCCACAGGTCAGGAAGGGTTCTATGAAAAAAGCAAATAGACAAGTGAAGCAGGTTTCTGTATTACACGACTTCTTGGAGCTTTTAATAAGTCACTGTGCATTATAAATCTCCACAGGAGGAAAGAATATGAAGCAGTTCTCAAACATATTTGCTCCAGAAGTCTTTTTGCATCTCATCTTGCCGTCCATGACGAGCACTTTGAGCCACCAAATAGCCAGCCCCGCCTGCTCCCGCCTCCTGGTTAACGGAACTCCAGTTTTGCTTGGGCCGGGACGCTGCCAGCCCCAGAGGATGCAGCGCGATTGGTTCTATGGCAGTCCTGACAATCCTGTCCCTTTGCGAGGTACTCACTCTCCAGGTCTCCCTTCCAGCTAAGGGCGGCCATGACCATGTCATCCATTGCTGGCCAAGGGGCCACCAGGGGAGGTCAGCTTGGAGGATTTGGGTAGTTTTCTGCCCTGATAAAAAGATTTATGAACCTTTCCAGCTGCCCCCTTTCTTACTGCTTGTGAAGCTGGTGGGGTGATGCCATATGGAGCTGTGACTCTGGTGGTTTTAAAACACGGCACAAATCCTCTAACGTTCCTCCCATTGGAAGGTGGTTATCTCTTGAATCTGGTAGGCTTACAACTGCTTCAACAACAGAGCACAGCAGAAGTGATGGCTGCATGCCTTCCACAGCTGGAACACCTGCCTTGGAGACCTGAGTCTCCGTGTTCCAACAGACACCCCTGACTCGGTCAAGCTGAGAGGCCCAAGCCACAGAAAGAGGTCAGGTGTAGGCACTGCAACTGACAGTCTCCGCTGAGCTCTCCTGAGTCACTGTAGCCCAGGCACCAGTGTTAGAACAAAGAAGCTTCTAAGATTCCAGCCTCTGGCTGGTCACAGCTTCCCAAATAAGGTCCAGAAATTGTGCAGCAAAAACGCATCCAGCTGCACTGTACCCTGTCCGAAATCCTACTCCACAGAATCTGCCAGTATCGCCGAAGGGTTGCTCACACCACTGACTGTTGGGGCGATTTGTTATATAGCAACAATCAGAACTGACTCTCTCAGTCCTAAGGAAAAAGCCCAGAGGGTCAGAGAGATGCTGACCTAGAACCCCAGCACCTCTAACCCGCGGCACTGCCCCTCACGCCAGGCTTCTCCGTATGTGAAACAATTATACATCTTCATTGCTTAGGCCACAGTTACTCGAAAGCATCCCTAAGTGATGTGACACGCTGCCACTCAGAGACCCAGATGCGGCTCAGAGCTCCGGTCCTTTATCCCACAGGCCACTGCGTCAGCCAACGTGCTGATCTCGCCGTTTCTGGCCTCTCCCACCTCCCGCACACGCCCCTAGCATGATTTTTCTGTACCACACTCTGACGCCACCACTTCCTTGCTTAAAACCTTCAAAGGCTCCCCATCACTTTGCATTGGTTCATAAGGGCAGCAGGCAACAGAATCATCTGGAAGAACTTTCAAGAACAAATCCAGAAGTCGGAGCCATTCCAGGCCCTCTGAGTCAGGCGTGTCCTTGCCGAAAGCTGCCAGGCGATGCTGACGGGCGAGTCTCGCTAAGAACCACTGAAGCCGTCTCTCACCAACCCCTCTCTCCTCCCTCCAGACAGGACATAAAGCTTCCTCCTCTGTGCTCCCACAGGACCTCCTTGTGGACATTTCTATTATCATTTGACTTCTAAAATGTCCGATCACCCTCACCAGATAAGGGGACAGCAGAGGGCAAGGCCCCTGTCACCAGAACCCTGCGTCCCGCAGCACCTAACGCTTGTCTGGGAAACACTGAATCCTCACAGGGCTCAGTGAATGGATGAATGAATACGGGACAACGAGCCCCTCATGTTTCTGCCTTCTCAGGTAGGTTCTGTTTCCTCTGAAACTTGGCTTTCTCCGCCAACCGAGCAAGCAGACCAGGGAAAATACAGACGACAACAAATTAGACAAAAGTCTGAGGTTTATCATTTACTAGACCCTGGCTTAACCGACCAAGGAGGCCTGAAAACCCAAGGGCCAATTCTTTTCTCTAACAATCGAGCAGCAGGAGAAACGACTGGAGTTTTACAGAGCAAAGCACATTTTGAAACCATCCTGGCCGTGTGACTTCATCCACACCTTGTGAATGCCTTTCTGACCACGCTGTGATTTGTACCATCGGTCCTCGGCAGATAACCGAGGGTGACCTACTTGCTGGAACGAGTCCAAAAAGCAGGTTTTAGCACAAGAGTGCCTTCCCGAGAAACCGACTTAACTATATCCTGCAGGATGTCCTGGGTGTGTTCCCCAGTCGCAAACAGAGGGAAACCCCTCCTTTCCCCCATTACCTGGAATGTGCTTTATCCTACTGTCAAGGACATTTTCAGACCATATTCTATAAAACCAACTCTTGGGTCTACTTACTCACAAACATACTGGGGAACACAATGGTGATGAGGACTAAAGTTTACAGCGACACACTTAGTGTCTGCCAGGCGCTGGGCTACGTACATCACACACTTTCTTATTGCATATGTATAACAATCAGCAGGTCATATCACTCTTCCTGTTTTAGAGGAAACAGGGGTTTACGGCAGTTAGACAACTTCTCCAAAGTTATAGGGCGAGCAGTGGGCAGAGCTGGGGTTTAGACCAGGATCTGTGGGGTGCCAGGGTCGGCATGCTGTCGTTCCATGATCGCCTCCCTCTTGCCTCTGCCCCACTCCAATACTTATCCTCTCTGCTCTATCAGGTGAAAAAGAAGGAAAGTAACCTTTACCTAAGCCTACACTCAACACTTTCTGAACGTTAGCTCCTTTAATCCGCAACCAATCTGGGAGGTGAATATTTTTCTCCCCATTTCACAGAGAAACTCACTGAGGCTCAGAGAAGTTAGGAATGTGCCCAAGATCACAGCTAGTGGCGGGTAAGGCGTTAACTTCAAAGACTGTACTCTTTGCAGCCCACCATGCAGCCCCCTTCTCCACACTAAATATGATAGGGCTTTTTTCCCCCCTAAATGACAGATAAGCAAATAACAAAGAGAACGCAATAAGAAAAGCAGCAGCTCTTAAGTTCTTAAGTCTCCAGAAATAACCATGATCCATCCAGCTTCTCCGTTTAGATAACACTTTCCAGATGTGTGATCCTTACCACAGCCTTCAAAGGTAAGTACTAACATTCCCGATTTCCAGAGCAGGAGTTCAAGCCCAGGTGCGTTAAGCGACATGACCAACGTCAACTGCTAGTCAGTGCTTGAGGGTGGACTCAGACCATGTCTTGGAGGCTGAAGGCCACCATCTCCCCACCTCACCAGGAATACTGCCTCGCAGGGCCCCTCTTAGTGGTTTAAGAGAAGAGGCAGAAAGAAAACTGTTATGGGAGAAGATTCTTTAACTCCTTAGATTAAGTTCCTTAATGTGTCTCGTTCTCCGAGGCAAGCTCAGACGGACAGGCTACAATAATGTCAACATCTCCTGAAGTCCACCGCACTGCTGAACAGACACATTTTCCTTCCATGATCCACACCTGGAACAGCATTAGACTCACAAAACTCAAATGTCTGACCACATTATGACTCCGCGACCAAAAGGACAGACCCGCCCCCAGGGAAGGAGGGGATCTGTGGAATGTTCATGGCCAACTTCGCTATCAGGCCAACACACACTCAAGTTCGTTCTTAAACCCGCTTATCACTCTAACAGATGAACGGGCCTGAACCATCAAGCTTCGCTCCACTCCATTTAGACCACAACTAGAGGGTGACTTTTCCACACCCATAAGCGAGAGGAGAGGAGGCACCTAGGTTCTCCCTGCAAAAACAGTGCGATGCCGCTTGTCTTCTTTCCAGAAAAATAGAAAGCCTAAATAAAGAAACCATAGTATGGTGGCGAAAACTTCAGTGACTGAACTTTCTGTGGTTTTGTTTTGTTTTGTTTAAGTGTCATTCATTGAGCACATATATCTCAGGTGCTATACTGAATGTTTTAGAAACATTATCCCATTTCATCCTCAGAATAACCCTCTAGGGAATTATATTACCAATCCCAATTTACAGATAAGGAAACCACCAAGCATTCCAGAAACGTTCATAAGATCAATAGCTGGTGGGAAGCAGGGGAATGATTTGAACCCAGGTTTGCCTGGCTCCTAAGCCTGGGTTTCTGTCCATGACACAAGCTTCCCACCACTCACTGTCTACTGTAGCACCTTGCCCATTTCAAAACCAACAGGCATGTGAATGTATAGACAGAGGCAGCCCACCTTTGCCCCTGTTTAACTTCAGAAATATAAATTGGTGGCTGCCCGGGTGGCGCACTTGGTTGGAGTGCAGGCTCTGAGCAGTGGGGTAGCCGGTTCAATTCCCACATGGGCCGGTGAGCTGCACCCGAGCTGGGCTACTGCTGAGCTGCTGCCGGCGGGCAGCCAGGTGGCTCAGCTGGTGGGAACGTGTGCTCTTGGCAACAGGGTTGCCGGTTCAACTCCTACATGGATGGTGGGATGCGCCCCCCGGCAACTAGATTGAAAAACGGCGACTGGACTTGGAGTTGAGCTGTGCCCTCCACGACTGAGATTGAGGGGCCGTGGCTTGGCTTGGAGCTGGTAGGTCCTAGAAGAGTACAGTGTACCCCTTCCCCAATTCCCCAATAAAATCTTTAAAATATATATATATTTGGTGGCATCTTAGTTTCCCTATTATCCCTGGAATTAAGTCAAAGGCACTGAATTTTTGGAAATAAATCTACTCTATGTGAATCTCAGGCCTAACAATGCAGTGTGTTTTTTATTCGTGGCTGGGGCCCCGTGGGCTGGTTCAGTTATGTTATTTAGGCAGGAAGAGATATCATTAAAATGTTGTCATGTAGCAAAAGACTCTAATTACATATAATTTACTTTCTGCTGACTTTCTCCATAAGATTAAAAGCCTGCATCCTCTCAAGTTAAGTGTTGGAGAGATTCTCCTTGTAACTGCCTGGTCTGGCCACCCCGCCCCAGTGAAAGACTGACTTTCCTCTGCTACCTTCGCCAAGACCTGAGGTTTTATGCTTTATAAGGAAGCTGTGTTTCCGTCTGTACATTCAGGAAAAGGCACTGGAAGGTCCTACCTCAGAGAAGAACTCGTCCATGAAAGCTGTGTTGTCAATGGCAATCTCGACCTCATCGGAGTCATCGTCCTGTGTCAGCTGCTTCTGTGAGAAACAAAAGGGGCAGGTGAGACCAAGGCCACAAGAAACAGCTAACAGCATCAAATGCTCACTGGGGACCAGGTGCTGTACCTCCATTACGCATTTTACATACATCATGTCCTTTACCACTCAGGACAGCTCAGTGATGTGTCAAAGTCTGGTGGCACACTGTCCGAATTTAAATCCTAGTTCCACCGTTATTGATTTTTTTGCGGGGTGGGGGGACGGGTGGGCAAGTTACTATCCTCGCCTTGGTTTCCTTATCTGTGAAACGCTAATAAGAACATTACCTGCTTCATTGGGTAGTTTAAGAAACCGATGAGATGATGGGTATCAAACACTTTTGCACAGTGTCTGGCATGCTGTACGTACTCAATAAAGCGCTAGGTTTGGGTGGTAGTGGTTGGGATTGGTGGCATTACTGTAACTCATTCCAGTCAGAGAACCAAAAACAGAGAGGGTAAGTAACTTGGCCAAAGTGACACACCAACAATGTGGAGACAGGCAGATCCTAGCTAGCCTTCTGGGTTTGCAGCCCATGTTCCATCCCCTTCTCCACACTGCTCGAATGCAGGATCCACCCTACCAGGGACCCACATTAGAACAGATTCCACCTACAATTCCTCCAAAACGCTAGCTTCCAATCCTCACAGATTTTCCTACTTTCAGAAGCCACCTATTGCAAAGGAAACAGCATTGTGTGTTGTTCCCTGTCAGAGTTCATGTTTATATGGAAAAGGAAGCTCTTCCCCTACCACCCATGGGGACCCCAGCTTTCTTAACTTCACTCAACTTCCTCTGCAAAATCACCAGATGACTGTCTAAAGGAAAGGCTTCCCTCCCACTGAACACAAAGCCCTCAGCTGTTTGTACATTCTTCCAAACACTCTTCCCAGACCACTGCTGCACTGCACACTCCCCATTTCGAAGCACAGAGGGAGAGCTGGTTGTTGGGGTGGAGGTGAGGAAAGCTAAACCCCCTACACCTGCTTCTTCACAACCTCCAGTAGCCTGTGGTCTTCTAAGCCAAGACATGTCACTCTCCAACGCTCAGAGCTCCACTGGCAATGAAAGCCACCAGGGGCCCTCTTTCCTTCACTTGCGTCCATCCCCCTGATCTGCAACAGAAGACAGAGGTACTGAGAATTCCCACCGAAATTTGGGGCCCTCCAGCCATTTGGGGAGTCTCTTTTGACTGGCACCCCCATCATCTCATTCTCTGGCTTGTCTGGACGTTTCAGTCACCCAAGCTTAAAAGACACATTCTAACAAGTTAAATTTGAGGGCACTGCTACAGCCCCCACAATCATCCTCCTAAAACTTAGAACTGATCAGGTCCTTCTGCCACTTAAAGTCATTCAATGACAGCTCACCTCCTAGGACTAAAAGCCCCAATGCCTAAAAGAGCATGTGGGGCCCGTTAAGGTCAGAACCCCGCCACACACACACACACACACACACACACACACACACACACACACACACACATTTCTCCCCCTATGATGCACTCTCTAGACCAGGCACTTGGAACTCTTTGCATTTCCTGAACACACCATTACTTCATATCACTGAACTGTCACATGAGGACTTCCTCCTGAAATGCATTTGTCCAGCTGGCAAAATTTTACTTAGCCTTTAAAATTCAATCTCAAACAACCTTCTCTGTCTACCTTACCTGACACTCCCCCGCCTGTAAAATTTAAAACCTCCCTGTGCCTTTCGTGCAATCTTCCAGAGCAGCCATCACAGCCTGCTCTTAGTGACCCTTCCTCTGTCCTTCCCCCGCCTCCTGGAGGTCAGAGTGGCTTTATGCATCCACTAGAGTAGATCCTTCGAGAGTGTGCCTGCCCGGAGCACCTTCCTGTGTGGAGACACCCCTCACCTTCCCCACGTGAGTCCGGAAAGGTTCTCAATCACCACCCAAGCCCTCTGAGGAATCTGAATTGTGACGTGAACAGGGCTGAGGGAGCCGGGCCAGCTACCCACCAGAAATCTGCTCGACTCCCAGAGCTGCACGCGCGTCTGTCCTTCCTGGTCCCCCTTACTCAGTGCAGGGTCTGCAGGCCTCCCCAGGAATTCTCTCAATGAGCGGAACAGAATCCTCACATACTTCCATTCATTTAGCCAGAATCGGCTTTTGTCGCTTGCAATTAAAATTACTTGCACTTGTCATTAATTAGTTTATTCCACACATATACTGGGCACTTACCATGTACTAGATATGTAACAAATTTAATCAATTTTAGATGAGTAAGTAACTAGCTTCCAGAGAGCCCGACAGCCTACATTTACCCAGCAGTTTCTAAAGCTGGAGACAAAATGCTCCCTTTATCAACTTTATTATCATCCACGCTTGGGCCTCTCAGTGGCCTCCAGAGAGCTCATCTGCCAAGAAGGATTTCCGTGAGCCTCACTAGAAATAGGAACCCAGCCTTCCTCTGGGAAGCATTTGCTGACCGGTTCCTGACTTCAGAGCTCTCCTGGAGACCCACACTGAGGGGAGATACCCCGTGAGTGTGTGTGTGTGCCCACAGACACCCACAGACACACACGAGTGTCAGCTCAGCTTTCTTCAAACAGGCACACGTGCTAAGGTCGTGGGATGAGGCTACCACCACCAGATGGGCTACGGGCAGTTCCTGGAAGCTGGGGACAACTGCGTCCTGGAGCACGGGAGGCAGGCACCCCGCTCTCCAGCGTGTCATAAATTTGTGAGACCCCTGGAATTTGTCCAGGGATTCCCGTCGAGAGAGCCACGTCTTGGCTTCCAGCAGGCTCTGGCAGGGCAGCCTGGTCCACCTCCAGCAACTCACAACCCAGGGCCAAAACTTGTCACAATTCTGGCTGAGACCTCGGTCGAGTCCCTTACTGCTCTGAGTGACCTGTACATGGTAAGAACATCACACGCCTTATCACTCTTAGGAGGACTGGAAGAGATCACACATGGAAAGCTTCTAGCACAATCCTGGACACACGCCTGGGCCTAATAAATGTCAGTTTCGCCGTCACCTAGCCGTAAAGACGTGAAAGGTGAGTTCTCCTCAAGTCCTCACGCTGAAGGCTAAGATCGATTCCACAGCATCATGACGACCAGGGTTCTATAACCCACTCCATCCCATACCAGTCACTGAGCAGCTGGTTTAACATCTCGGAGCGTCAATTTCCTTATCTACAAAACAGGAACAATAGTGCCTACTGGGGCTTGTATGAGGGTTATACAAGATAACGTTTTAAAGTTCCTCATGCAATGAATAGCACACAGTAATAACTCGATAAAACAGCTATCTGTATGATCTCGCCAAGGCAACGTCTCTATAGATTTAACCTGAGTCTAAGTGCCTTTACAGAGGAAGTGGAAGGGGGAGATATAGGACTTGCAGAGCTGCATGCAATCTTACAGATTTTATCACTAAATTCTGTCACATAGAGATGGACAAGTCAAGGCCCAAGGCCGAATAATGAGTTACTTAGACAGCCAGGACTAGGACCCAGGTTTCCTGATTCCTATCTTCCCATGCAGTTTCTCCTACAGTGGTGTGCTGCCTCCAAAAATATAAAGTAACAACGTCAGCAACAACAGCAATAAACTGCAGATCAGAAAACGCAAGGAAGAGGCCATTATCACAGGTCATCTCGATCATCTGGTTATCTGGAGTCACATGACACTGGGAACCACCACCAGGCTTCTCCAAAAGGGGTCTAGCCCATCCCAGGGCCGGGGAGCCTTCCCTTGTAACACAGCTGTGCTCTTACACACTGAGGTCTCTTGAGGCCTCAGGGACCCCCAAGGCCAAGGGAAGCACACAGGGTCCTTTATCCTCAGCCCACATGAGTGAGCACAGCCAAGAAGAGAACTTAAGCATCCTTATCAAAGAATCAAGGCATGTGGTAAAGGAACGTTATAGTAGCTGCAACAGAGGCCACAGTAAAAGCCGTGGTGAGAACCACAAGTCCAGCCGCCCGCTTCCTCTCCCCAGGCCCCCACCCCAGCCGCCTGCTGCCCCTCCCACCAGGAGATGGGAGACATCGCCAGTGCCTTAGGCAGCACCCAGCTACAACCCAGGATGGACCTATCGCCCACTCCCACCTCTCAAATGTGCCCCCAGATTCAGTGAGGGCAGCCTGGGCTATGACCTCCTCTCAGAACAAAGACTGGAAACAGTTCGGGGGCCCAGAACGCTGTATAAAGTCACTTGACCTGGAATTCCTCTCGCTCGACACTCACTGCCTTCCTCTCACTTGCCTTCTCTGTCATCCTTCCTCTATTTGACCACAGGTCCCTCTTCATTAGCTCCTTTAATAAAAACATTTGCCACCTATAGAATCCCTACTAGGTGCTAGGTGGCCACAACACTCTAGCAGCTTCACACACACTATGTCAATGAAACCCACCTAGATTTGGTAGTGGACGACCTGCAGGCCAGAGAAGTTCTGAGCTATTCAAGGTCTCCCACTATTGATTTTCAGAGGCAGGGCGCAAGCCTCGGCTGCCCCTCCCACGCTGGCTCGGAGAGGAGCCAGGGGCCATGGAGAGCGCAACCCAGCCGGGCAGGAAGCACACCAGCTGGGAGAGAGGCGCTGGAGGCCCTGGGAACAGCACGTGTCTCCTTGAAGCCCTGGTTTCCCCACCAAGTAAGGAGCTTAGCTTTCCAATGAGGCTTTCTGGAACCCCAGGACACCTCAGATGGGCCTCCGAAACCACCCAGGGATGTCAAGGGGGTGAGAGTCAAAGCAGGTGGGTCCGTCAGCCTTGCTTCACTTTTATCTGCTTTATACACTGGGGTTGAAATAACGTTTCATTTTAAGCAAGGGTCCTGCTGTCAAAAGAGGAAAGAAAGGGGGGGGGGGAAGAGGAAGAAGGAGGAAGCAGGCAAGCTTGGATACCTGGCTGGAAAACCATGGAAGTAAATGGGTGGATGCCTTCTAAAGAAAAGACAGAGAATAGGGTGTGCCCTCACTCCTTTCTAAGTTAAATCACGGCTGCAAATAGGTTAACATCAGCA